TAAAATAAAAACGAAACGTAAAAGGAACACTGCCTCTGGACGGATGACATCCTTCAACGGATGTCAACATCCGTTGAAGGCAAAACGGATGTCGACATCCGTTTTGCCTTAAACGGATGTCGACATCCGTTTTGCCTTAAACGGATGTTGACATCCGTTGAAGGATGTCATCCGTCCATAGGCAGTGTTCCTTTTACGTTTCGTTTTTATTTTACTACGTTTTGCGGCTCATGCAAGGATTATAGGCTTGGATATTAAAAGGATTATTGGAAGTATGGGAAGGATTTAGGGTTTAGGATTATTGGAAGGATTATGACTACGTACCTGGAGAGGAACCACGACAAGGACACTACACCATAAACGCACTGCACCACGTACTGCACCGAGAACAAGAAGAAGATTGTTTGATAATTCTTTTCACGATCACCAAGCTTTGTAGAAAAATATTTTACTCATACAAGAAACTACGTAGGTTATCAGTGAAATATGTTATAAATGAATAAAATTAAAAAACAACAATTTTAAAAATAAAATTTTACTGAGGGGCAAAATAGTAAAGGAAAGGTGGAGGAAGGGGTAAAATAGTAAAGGGGAGGTGGAGGAAGAGATGTGTGGGGGTGGAGGGAGCAACACCCAAAAATCATTTATCAGATTTTAAAAAATCTTTGGGCCTAAATTCATTCCGTTATTTCTATTAAAAAACATTTCTTTCTGCACCCCAAGAACTAACCAGTTCACCCTCGTACACCCGTAAGTCCTTTGCAAGTTTATCAAAGGAGTTGCATTCCTGGAGTGATATCTTCCTCTGCGAGTGTATTTCCTTACAAGAATTAAAACCAACAAACTTTTCTTTCAATCACTGCTCTCAATGGTTTAATGTCTCTTTTTAGAAGTTTATTTATGAAAAAATTCATTTCAAATTTCTGAAATATATATAATGTGAAATACAAAGATTTATATAACAATCTGTATTTTGAGAATCACATACTTTAAAAATTGCAAAGAAAACATCGTATTATTAAGTATTTAATATTAAATATTCCAAATTAAGTATTCAAATAAAATTTCATAAGAATCAAAATATTTATTAAAATTACAAATATTAATAAAACAAAACAAAGTTGATAAAATTTAAAAATATGTTTTAAAAAATAATAAAAATAAAATTAAATATTCAAATTTAAAAATATTTTACATGTCTTTATACTCTTATTATTTAAATTTTAATGAAATGATGTGGGAAGAAATGTCTTTTCCAAGGATGAGGATGAATTGAATTTTGATGGCTCCAAAAACGCAAGTTACAATTTGTTTTTTTAATTCCAAAATCCCAGGTTTATTTTTTGTTCTTCTAAAGGGGCCCATGATGGAAGACCACTAAATTGAAATATGTTAAGCTTATCCAAATCGAACTACTGAAATGGGCTTACTGAAATTAAAATTGGATTATTATCCATAAAAAAAATTATTGAGTGGTACAAGTCTACAAGTTTTCTAATATTCACTCATTATGTGAATTAAAAGCCATCTACGTCTAACATTAGAGAGAAAATCCATTCACCACGAAACTTTTAGTGCGCGTTTAAATAAGAATTTATTCTGACAAAAATTTACTCCAAAATTTATTGAAAGTAAAACTAATTTAATGTATATCAACTATCAATATACATTAAATCAGGTGAATAGGTTGACCGGGCCATCAAAATTTCGTAGGATGTATTTATTTGTATTTTAAAAAGCATATTATTTGTACTGTGAAAAATCAATATTTCTTTATAATAATTTTATCGAAGGTAATATATTTTTAAGAACATGTAACAGATGTTAATTTTGAAATAGTTTAGATAATTTTTAGTTAAAGGAGAGGAAAATGAATAGACAAAATTTCCCGCGGTAAATCAACAAAAACAAGCACAAGCCCTCAAATCTAATATCTAATAATTAGGCAATTGAAAGTTACATTTTAGAAGGTGGTTTTCAAAATCATGGCAGGTTTACCACACCCACCTTTGTGTTTCCATTATGTTCTACCAATTCATTGCACATTCACCAATTTTTTTTTAAATATTACTAATATATTAATTAATCTTGACTGCGAATGATTTTTAAAGTGTTCTTCTCACTTAATTCATCGACACAAAAACTCACAATACTTTATAGGGATAAACAAAATAATAAATTTAAAATAACATAAAAACAATGAATTATTCCTTCACAAATGTGTTAGAAATTATTGGAAATATTGTTTGATTCAAGGGCTAAGATTCTACTGTGCAATTGATTCCGACGTCGCACGTGTTATCTGTTACGTGTTTGTTACTTCAGACATATAGTTTGATGTTTTTTCAAGATATATTAAATAATAATAAATATATAAGTGTTATTCTTCAAATATTGAACCAAACACAGGACAGGAAAAAAAAGGGTTAAAGTCGCTGCTTTTGAGATATAGAAAATCGGAGTCAAGCTTTGAATAATACAGTGAAATTGTGAGACCAATTCCATAACCTTTCGCAGGTTCATAAATTTTGCGTTTCTACACTGCTTCTGTTTGTTTATAATTAATTGAACAGGGTTTCAGTTTTCAGAGTTTCGTCACAGTAACAACAACGTTTGAGACATTTTTAATGGAATGAAAAATAAAATTGGGAAATGTGGGGACTGAGAAAGCAACCCCATTACGAAATAATTCATGAATGCTAGTGCCACTTCCATCATCTAGATAAACCTAATTAATGGCGTATTCAAACCTAATGCATACATCACTACGATCTTAACCGTCCCCATACAATAAAACATTAACTCAAGTCAACAGCAAAAGAACCAAAATCCTTAACCATGTCTCTAGTTTTGGTCATCTTCCCAACTTCATTGTTTTGAAAAGGTTTAAAGAGTGTTTGCGTGCTGTAAACTATTTGTTAAAGTATATATTAACACTACTCTTGCGTTGACCCTTTCCCTCCTGTTTTTTACTGTTTCAACTAACAGTCTGATTTTAATTATACTCGCTACAATAAAATACAATATCCACTCATTATGTTTTCAATTATTACTTTTATGAATTTGAATTGAATTTGGTTTGAGAAATTTCATCTTAAAATACGACAGTGTGCGGGTGAAAAGGAGACGCAAATGAGGAGGACAAGAGATGGAATAGAAACCACCCGAACTACGATCGCCTTTTGTTGAACGTAGAATTCTGTTCTTCGGACCAAACTCGCAGCACTATCTGACCTATGAAATGGAAAAGAACCCAATACACAAATTCAATTATGGGCCATATAATTATTTGGAAGATCAACGTATTGTAGGGCACCATATAAAAAAAAAAGGAGTTTTAATTCAGGAATTTAAGTCTTATTTGTCACCATTTCCTAGTTATTTCTCAAACATATCACAACCTAAAAACGTTTTCCTCAAACCAAATTGGGTCAACAAACATAAGTCTTGTTCTCCGTCAACCAACTAAACTGGAACTAACCGTATCAACTGCGAATTCAATCACCAACAACAAGAGGTAAAATTTGAAGTAATATTTATTTAATTAGAAACAGAAAGTAGAGTTTACCCACCATGGTCACTCATGAAAAGATGTCACGATCCCCCATCCAAAAAGGCAGAATCTTCTTATCTTTATAACCCTAATTTACTTCCATCACCAAAGACAAACTCCATACGCATATATGATTCTAAACTCACAGTTATGATAATACCGCCTGTCACATATTCTGTTTTTCAATAACCTCTCTTTTTATTCGGGGTTTAATAATTCAGCTCTGTGCTCTTTCGATTGTTCCCCCGTAACAACATAACTACCATAGCGAATAGTTATGTTTCTGTTTTTCAGTTACTTTAACTTGTTCTTCCTCGGTGTGGCCATCTTCCTTTGTCACCCTTGTTTTCCCGCCAGGATCGTACCAGAATCCGTAACCGTAATAACCTCCGAATCCCAAAAAACACAAACGCACAACGCCACGTGGCACGATTTCTCCAAGTTCTTGTACGCCGAGCGAGGCAGCCACGTCAGCGGCATGTCGGAACTGAAAAAGTACTTCCACCGTTTCGGTTACCTCGCTCTCCCCGAAACAACGCCGAACTTCACGGACACCTTCGATTCCCAGTTCGAGACCGCCGTCTTCCGTTACCAGAAGCGCCTCGGCCTGCCGGTCACCGGAAAACTTGACTCCGATACTATATCCGCCATCATGGCGCCGAGGTGCGGCGTCTCCGACGCCGCCACGCATGGAATCCACGCCACGCGTCACTACGCTTACTTCAATGGGAAGCCGCGGTGGACGCGTGGAACTCCGATGACTCTCACGTATGCGTTCTCGCCGTATAACATGATCGATAGGGTGAGCGTGCCGGAAATTCGAGCGGTGTTCGAGCGCGCGTTTTCGCGGTGGGCGTCGGTGATCCCGGTGAGCTTCCGGGAGACGCCGGAGTACGATAAGGCGGACATAACGATTGGGTTTTATCTCGGGGATCACGGCGATGGAGAACCGTTTGATGGAGTTTTGGGGGTTCTGGCTCACGCGTTCTCCCCTCAGAACGGGAGATTCCATTTGGATGCGGCGGAAATGTGGTCCGTGGATTTCGAGCGCGAAGATTCGAGGGTGGCCGTTGATTTGGAATCCGTGGTCACGCACGAGATAGGTCACGTGCTTGGGTTGGGTCACTCATCGGTGAAAGAAGCAGTCATGTACCCAAGCCTGAGCCCCAGGAGAAAGAAGGTTGACTTGAAGATTGATGACGTGGCAGGAGTCCAATCTCTCTATGGCTCTAACCCAAACTTCACTTTTAGTTCTTTGTTGCAGTCCCAAAATTCATTAAACGCTGCAATTGGCTTGGAAGCCCGTTTCTTCAGATGGACCACCCTTTCTCTTTCCCTGGTCGTATTATTTTTATGTGTTTGATTTTTTCATTACTTGTATTTTAATTCTTTGATCATATATATGTGTATGTAAAAAGGAAAAGAAAGCACAGAAAGTAAAGTTCATTCACGTGGGCGAAGCCCTTGTGATTCATCTTATATGGGACCTTTGATTTTTTTTTGGTACAATAGATATTTGTTTAATTTCCCTACATAGAAAATGAGATGCACCACAGAACTTTTCTGAGGGGAAAGGTGAGTACACTTTTGATTGGATTTGAGGAAAAATTGCAGTACAAGACCGATGGAAAAGGAAAGATTGAAATGAAAAGGTTTGTGGAATAAAAAAAGAAGGCAATGAAAAATGAGGAAGTTGATGTAAGAGGATAGAATAAGATTCCGTAAGTTAATGGCTAACCTAACCTCTGTAGTGGGAGGAACTAAGGATTCTATATGTATTGAAGATAGACAGAAGTATAACTGTCTCATGGTCGTAAAAGGTATCAATCTTAACTAACATTCCCGCCCAAGGCTTCTCTTATTTTGCTATTTGGGGTCGAATTTGCTTTCCAGTGTGGATTGGTCCAACTTCACAATTTCTAATTGTTCCACATCCCTTGCCCATCAGGTTCGGAAGTTAGAGACGGAAAGTAATGTTATATCAAAGCACACTCTATAGACTACGCTCTAGTTTATATGAAAATTATATAAAAACATGAGTTTCTTCGTAGGTCATTAGAGTCAGATTTTTCCAGAATCCTTCTCCAAAGTACTTGACACTAAAGTTATATATTTTTAAATTGCCCCACATAACGACTGTTATGTTTTGCCTCTCCAAGGTGAAGTACAAATAAGCTATAATAGGAAAGACACAGATATTGAAATATTATCCAGTACGTACATAGTTCACCCAATGAAATAAATTATTTAATTAAACAAAAAAAAAAGAGTACAGGGATGGTAAGTGTATTATATAAAAGTATAATATAGTATTGTAAGGTTTTATATAAAAGTATAATACAGTATTTTCAGGATTTATGTAAAAACAAAATTTAATATTATAAGTTAAAGTACTTTTTAATCTCTTCAGGAAATTCAATTTGAGGATTCTGTTTTTAAAATGCTTATTTTGCTCCTTTGATCTTCTAAAAAAAATTCAATGTTCTCTGTTTCCGTCAAAATTTAGCTAACGACACAAGAATATGTGGAAATTGTACTGAAATCAATCACTGCATCTTTAACTATCACTGCATCTTTAACTATCACTGCTAGCTTCATTTGAACAGAAATTATAACATAGATTTTTTTAAAATTATTTATGCCAACCTTGTATTTATAATGGCATCAAATAGAATTTTGAAAATAAATAAAAGGATTAAATAAATAATGTGAATAGTATATATAATAATGTTGTATGGTTAACCGCTCTCTCTCTCTCTTCCCTCAATACTTTTTTCTCTTGCACATTTTCTTACCCATTGTCATCACCAATGGTTAATGCTTAGTTGATCCTCTTCGGGGTGAGGTAATCAGAACTGTACTTTTGACAATGCTGGCTGTTTCAATATTTTGTTGATTCCTGGCTTCGAGAACACAGCTCCCTTACTTTACGTTCACAGAGACGAGACTGAGCTATCTATTTCTATCCAACTAAAACCCGCTTCTTTCTTAAGTCTTTTCCTGCTCATGAGTCCCCTAATTAAATTTACATCTTCCCATCTCCCAAAAGATGCATACATGTTAGACATCATCACATAAACATAATCTTCATCCCTCTGCAATTCAATCACCTTGGCAGCTGCAATCTCTGCTACTTGTAAATCTTCCTGAGTTCCACAAGCACCAAGCAAAGCCCTCCAAACCACTCCACACGACTCAAAACCAAATTCATGTATCATCCTTTCTGCTCTCCGCAGCTCACCTTTTTGCCCCATGAGCCGTATCATTGAGCAACAATGCTCAATGGATGGCGCAATCTTATATTCATCAATCATATATTGAAAGTAAGCAAGTGCAACTTCTAATGGTATTTCATCATGGGAACAAGCGGATATGAGGTTAAGAAACGTGATACCATCAGGTTTTATATCTCTTTCCATTTTCAGCAACTTGAAGAGACGGATAACACATCCAGAATCACCATTGCGAGCATAGCCAGATATCATTGCATTCCAGCTCACCAAATTCTTGTTATGCAGTGAATGGAAGATTGATTCAGCATTCTTAACTTGCCCACATTTCGAGTACATGTCAATAAGGGCACTCCCAACAACTACAGAAACATCTAAACCGCACTTTACCGTGCAGCAATGAATCAACATTCCCCACTTTAAGGCAGCCAGACCGGCAATTCCACTTAAAATGATTGAAAATGTGAACTCATCTTTCTGTACATTTCTCAAGTGCATTTTACAGAACATGTTCAAAGCTTCCCAAGTTCGATTCCTATTCACAAATCCCGTAATTACAGAATTCCATGAAGAAGAATTTGGATTTGGCAGACTTGACAAAACCCGAACAGCATCTTCCATGTTCCCCACCTGAGCAATTCCATTTATGAGGCCATTATAGGAAACGGTATCAGGGTTGGGCATAAGGTGCAAAAGCCTGTAAGCAAGTTCAATGTATCCGTTGTTAGCACTTGCCGCTATGATTGAGTTCCAAGAAATATCGTCCTTCTCAACAGTTTCGGAGAACACCTTTACAGCTTGTTCCACAGGCCCGCATTTCCCATACATGTCAATCAAGCAGTTTGCAACCACAGTGCTATCATCCATGCCCAGTTTCACTGTCTTGCAATGAATTGAGCTTCCAAGTTTGAAGAGACTCAGTTGGGAACAAGCAAACAACACAGACGTGAACGAAAACGCATCGGCACGAACGTGGGACCTGTATAGGCGCGTGAAAAACGTCAAAGCGCTTCGAAACTGGCCAGCGTGAACGTACCCAGATATCATAGTGTTCCAAGTAACGACATTCGGTTCAGAAATTTCATCGAACAGTGCGTGTGCGTCACTAAAAGAACGCATTCTGACGTAAAATTTGACGAGGGAGGTGGAGACATGGATGTGGGAAAAATAGCCGGAACGTGAAACGTAACTGTGGAGTTGTTTTCCGAACGAGGGACGCTTCAGTTCACTGGCAAGTCCAATTAGGTTAACAAGTGCAAAAGAATTTGGTTTAATTCCACGAAGAGCCTCAAATAACGCTAACTCAGCATTTGTTCCACATTCGGAATGCACCGCAGCAACATCAACCAAATGAAAATTACCTCGTCCGATGTTACCGATATGATTGAAGGTGTTGGCACTATATAGTAATGGGAATTTGCGTGCTTCATTGCATACAAACCTTCGCATGCCCTAGGTTGTGATCAGTGTTTACAATATAAAACTGTAAGTAGATTAAACACTACATATGTATTGTTAACTTTATTTTGTACTTGCTCTTATATTACTTAGATACTTTCATATACTTATCATTATTCTAACTGTATTACACTTCCCCATCTGAAAAATAATATTTAAAGCCAATATAATTTAATCAATTAAATTTAATTAGGTTGGACATAAATTTTTTATTGAGAGATTTAATTCAATTATGATTGGAAAGATTGAAATATTTGATTAAATAATTTAAAAAATGAACTTTTAAGAGAAAAATGTTAATCGAATTAGATATTTTATAATAATTATAATTAGGTTTCTTAAAAATCAATCCACCTAATGACTAAATCAAACCAACAAAAATATAGTTGAGTTAAAGCAGTTTGTTGAAATTAGAAAAAATCTGCTATGATTTTCTTGCGATCTGTGAATTAGGATAGAACAACCTTTTTCTAATATATTCTCACTCTGTTCTTTTACAAAAGTTTTGACTTTTCAGATTCTGCCCTTCAAGGGTAAAAAATTGTTTGCAGGTGAGGACTAGATTATTCGAACTCACTTCCACACCGTTGATTGAATCCACATATAGAGTTAGTCGAACTTTTCGAAATATCCGTCAAAATTTCTCTTTCATCTGTTGAGTAGCAAAAAGGGAGGGATGATAATCTTCTATTATTGTAAAGGAAAAAATCTAGATTTAGAAAAAAGAACCATATCAACGCCAACCAACCAATCATCACTATTTATGTACCGGAAAACGGAGCAATAGTAAAACAGGTCTGGCCATGGTTGGTATGGACACAACCATCGTGAAGGTTGGTTGGTTCAAGTATGTTATGAACCGAAGATTTACCAAAAGAGGCAAATGCAGAGGAATCATAATCATAACAGTTAGCATACGCATTACTATTTCCTGAAACAAGCAAATGCAATCTGACATTGGAAACAGAATTGAAGAGGAGTCAGAAAAAAGGTGGTGGTGTTGAGAAAACGAAAAGAGAGACTGAAGAGAGGATAAGTTCCTCTCTCGGTAACAGAAATCGAAGAACCCTTTTGATCAGTTTGTTTGGAGGAAAAGATGAGTAGGGGAACTATAGAAGATGTGGCAATTATAGGAGGATTGGTTGGAGTCCAATTTATCTATGCAGGGAATGCTGTGTTCATGGGTTATGCATTATCATTAGGCTTCAGCTCTCTCACCATTATCATTTTGACTTCTTTGGCTACATTCCTTGTTCTGTTCCCCGTTTCATTTTTCTTTGAAAGGTTCTTTCTCTCTGCTTCCAACTTCTATATAAATCATAAAAAGGCTTCTGCTTTTTTGCTTGGATTGAATTTCTTGAAGATTAATTTATGTTGCATCTATTGCAGGAGCAAGTGGCCGAAGAATTGTGATTTCAAGTTGATTAAACAGCTATTGTGTCTATCGTTTGGAGGGTAAGAAAATGTAATTTAATTTCCTTTTGTCACGTATCGGGTTTTTTTGTTGGGTTCTTTCGATTTCTAAAATTTGATAAAACATTCTTGTTTTTCTTTACACTGGCATTGTTATGCAGACTGTTGTTCCAGTATTTATTCCTCAAGGGACTCGATCTAACTTCGCCAGCAATGGGAACTGCTATGCCAAACATTGCCCCAGGTCTTATCTTCATCATTGCATGGATTTCTGGGTAATCTTATTTTACTTGACTTTTGGTACTTTTATTCTAACTTTAAATCATCACCAAATTGGTGAATGTAGTAGGTAAGCCAGGAAGTGAAACGGGTTTATTGCAAAAACAACTATTTTGTTAGAAAAGAAAAATTGTTAACAAAGAAAATGCTTAATCTTCCAAAAATGGAGCTTCAACTAATTACCTTTGGTACTCAAATGGAAATTCTGTATTGGGCAGGTTAGAGAAAGTGAACTTAAACAATCAGTATAGCAAAGTAAAAATCATGGGAACATTGCTTTGTGTCTTGGGAGCTCTCACAATGAGTATAATGCAAAGCATTTCGACTGGTGCACCCGAGCAAAAGACTCCATCAGGTTTTGTCTTCAACACACAAAAGATGATCGGTTGCTTCTATCTCGTGGTTGCAGTCGTGATTTTGTCGAGCAACGTCGTTCTGCAGGTAAATTGTTTTATAAAATGTTGGAGAGGACACAAATCTACTTAATTTCGTAACTCAACAAAAACTGTTGTTCTTGAAGGCTTTTACTCTTGGAGATTTTCCGGCACCGATGTCCTTGGGTGCAATAACGTCCTTGTTGAGCGCATTCATGACTGCAACCGTTCAGGTGCTTGAAAAACACAGGCTGAAAACTGGGCGGCTACTTCTGAGGTCTGGAAATTTAATTGGCTATTTTATTATGGTAATTCCCTTTCTCTCATCGTTTCATAGGAATGGTTTGCAAGTGTTTTATCTCCAAATAGAATTTTACCTTGACGATTCACATTGATATTTAACACAAACCTTTGTTGCGTGAAATTTAGAAATAAAACTTCCATTTTCATTGAAAAGCAACACTAAATCGCATTACAAATTTCTACCAACCATGTATGAAACTTAGTGTATTTTCATTGTGAATGCACAGGCAGGTGCTGTGAGTGGAATATGCCTGAGTTTCAACGGGTGGGCACTGAAGAAAAAAGGGCCAGTTTTTGTCTCCATGTTCAGCCCCATTGGTACAGTGTGCTCTGTCATTTTCGCGGTTATTAAACTTGGAGAAAGTATGAGTGCCGGAAGGTGCATTGCTAAGATTCCCAGCTAGTGTGTGTGGCTTCTGACTTTTGCAAATGGCATTCCCATTTATAGTGTCTCATTTGTTCCTTTTCACAAACACTTTCATTGCAGTCTTGGAGGCATGTTTCTCATGTTCACTGGACTCTACTTGGTTCTCTGGGCCAAAGGGGAAGAAGGACTGCCAAATGGAGATAGCTTAGAGAGTGAGTTTGACATAGAGAGGCCTCTTTTGTGTTAACGTGTTTTTCAAATGACAACTTGTAAAATGTACTTGTCTCATCCCACTAGAAGCAGAGCAAAAAAACGAGGTTTGGTTAAGTCGGTTGAGATAATAACAATGAATTGCTTTAACGTGGTTAATATAATTCAACTCCTAAACAAGTACTGCGCTTAAACAAGATTAATAGTGTCCATACTCAACTCAATATGCAACCAGCATCTATTAACTAAACTATTCATTAAGGAAACAATGCTCTCAACATTTTCAACTTTTTTTCCCTCTTTTGCAGAACGTTGAAACAGCTGCTTCCTTCACGTAGTGGTGACAGAGAATTCCCAAGAGCATACTGTAAAAAGGCAGAAGTCTCTTGGGTTTGAAAAAAATATATACTTAGTTTTTCACGTTGGATCAACCAAACATACTTTCGTAATTCATATTCAAGTTATGCTACTGTGAACACCTTCTATTTTGTTACATTTAAAATGTAGATCCCGAAGTTTGTTTTGGTCTTTTTGAAACTCCTGGATCGGATAGGTGCAACATTTTAAGATGCAATGGATGCAAAATTAGTCCCTTGCTACATGCAAAAATATGTTGGTGTTGTTAGATGAAATTTATATATTTGAAAAAATATGTTGTGAGAAAATAGCTAGGTCACATTCTGTTCCATGGTTTGCTGAGGTTTGGCATTTTCTGATGAGAGTGAGAAATAGGAAAAGGAATATAAGGAAAAAATTCTTTGATACAAAAAACAACCATAATTGTAACATCCCAAAAATACAGTATAAAACTATATAATAGAATAATCACATGTTAATAATACTACAGATCAATCTTACAAAAGATAGTACGTACGCTTATGACCAAAAGGCCTTATAGAATAACGAGAAAGTTAAAATTGTACAAATAAGCAATATAGACCGAACGGTTTACAAAAGACCTATACCGAACGGCTATACAAAAGAAAAAGGGCAAAAGATGATCGAACGGTCATCGTACAAATAAATTAACTATTGACCGAACGGTTCTACTGTTCAGTCTTAACTTTTACCTCGACCAAACTTTCTTCTTCCAGCACTTCTCCCAGCAGCTCTTCTCCTTTTACTCACATCCACACGGATGATCATTGCGACAGGAACCGAACGTACAAAACGGACAAGACAGGAAAATATGGTAAGCTTATGTAATTCAATTCAAGTATCAACATAAGTTTCACACAATTCAAATAAACGAGATAGTTCATTCACTTTTACATGCAAAGACTAATACTAGACTTTGACTGTCCGGACTGTATGAATTTTGTGTAGCTACGACGTTCGTGCATCCGGGTGATGTAGTAACTGGGATGCCCTCAACAACTGCCACCTGAGGTTAGTCCTATCTGTCCAAATTAACCATAAGAACTAGGACCTCCTGCCATTCCCACACATGACTTACCCTTCTCTACGTGAGAACGAGTAATCACGGAATATTAGGATGAACCGCCAGCTTAGCATGCCCACATTCATACTTTACCAATTCCAATATCCATTCATGAGATATTCCTCCCCGGAATACTCTTTCATACTCAAAGTCCTTTCACCCATATCATATTCCATCATCTTTCACCATTAAAACTTCAACTTAACCAATTTGAATACAGATCCCGTAGGATATCAAATACCGAACGTAAATCTTCAACCCCGAACGAGACCGAACAATTGGAGTGAGACCGAGAGGTCTCCAGTTCCAAAACAGATCAAAACTGAGAGAGTTACTATCGGGGTTGGGAAGAGACCGATTACAATAATATTTCACAAAGACTAATAGAAGCGAATGTTATTTACAAAGTAAGCCAATTTAATGAACTGACTCATGAGCATTTAGACCGAATACCGTAAGCCTAGGCTGAGTACTAAGACTTTAGGCCGAAACTAATGGAGACAGACACTGTAAGACATCAAATGATACTTGAAGGAATCATATGAAGAAACCGAACGCTATAAATGTCGGAACAATCGGTACCGTTATAGAGTCGCGCAGCGGAATAAATTAATAAAGCGGAAAGTGTGTAACGGTCACAACTCAAGTTAAAATAGTCGGTTTCAAAAATTGATTTTTCTTAGTGAACTTTTATCTAATAGTTGATGTGCTAAAAGTTTAAAGAGTGTAGAGTTCAAGAAAATTAACACAAAATTTATCCTGGTTCGAATCAAAAGATTCTACGTCCAGTCGTTAATCACTATGAATAGTGATTAACCTTTTTTCACTAAAATATGGTTTGAAGATTACAATCAGATAATCAAAATAAGCAAAGAATAGAAAACACCTTCCTTCGACAAACGAACGGAAGAACTTGCTCAGCCAACTTGAAGAGAACCGCTCCGACCTTTGATAATCGATTATTTGTGCAATGACTTACTAAATACGAAAACTTCTAAGAGTTTTTACATCATTACATTTTATCCTATACATTTTTTTCTACAAAATGCGTTTAACAAAGATGCATTTAGAGTCTTCAATTCTTCAGCTTTTATCATCATCAAAACTTTACAGTAGCTTTCAAGATACCAATGCTCCTCATTGGTAACAATAAATACTTAGCTTATTTATGAGTTTAACATCAAGGAAAACGAGTGATGGTCGAAGACCGAGCACGGTAGAGAGCGAACACTATTGAGTTTGGACGAACGTTCTTATTATCAAGATAGATTACGGAAAGGAGAACGAGCGCTTGGTGTAAGACCTAACACTTACTTAATACGAGCGCTTGGTGTAAGACCTAGCACTACTTAGTACGAGTGCTTGGTGTAAGACCGAGCACTACTTAATTTATAGAATAAAGGCTTGATAAATATAAGATATCATTTAACTAATGTTCAAGAACAAACGAAATATACAAATACATATAGATATACTTAAATTGATAACAAAATACCAAGGAATGAATATCCTTGGTTGAAGGCTTATATACAAATATTATTAAACGAAGACGCTCGGTCCTCAACTGGAATTCCATCGAAATGAAAGAATCCAGTTCCAACCGAGTCCACAAGAAAATCGAACGGTCAAAGACCTTCAGTGACGAACATCAATTTTCACATAGAAATACAGACTTAGAATTCATACTCTTATTAATACATTCCTTCGCATTTATCTTCATACATTCATACAGCCAAAACATAGTAATAATCATACTTCATATTTCATCCAACAATCAAACAAGCATGCCAGCATTCAAGAACGAGAATAAAAATCAAATTATATAAGCTTTCCTTACCTCTAACGTGACCGAACGCTCATAAATATGATTACTGGTTCACCTCTACAAATCCTTCTACCCTCAACGCTCGACAACTTCCGAAACTAAACCAAACAGAAAATCCAGAAACTCTCAAAACAAGATGATTGATTCATGCAACCCATAAACTAGGTTTGCATGTACCAGGAAACCACACGGCTGAGGGAGGAATGAACTTACCAGCTCAGCTTCACAAACCGATCGGTTCAATCGAAAGCCCTTGTCACCGGAAGAGTGGAAATGGTGCCTGAGTGATCATCGGAAGAAGAAACTATGAGAATCCTTAGAGAGAAGTAAGAGCTTTTTAGAGAGAAGGAGGAGAGAATGGAAGTTTCAGAAATCTGGGGAAGAAGAGTGCATGCAGAAAGTGGCGTGAAATTTTGAAAACTTTGAGTTTTTCTTCCACCGTCAAAGCCGAACAGCCACTCAGCTGCTCACACCTGTCTTCCACTATCTGATTTTCGGATCCCCTTCCTTGATACATGTAATCCACTAAGACTGGTTTTGAGTGGATTTTAATGGGTCTGACAATAATCTATTATAAGAATAAAAGTAATAATGAAAAAAAAATAAACTCTTGTATTTATAAAAAATTAAAAAATAAAAATTAGTGTCTAATGAATAGAAAATTTTTTGAATATCATTTTTTCGAAATATAAACTCGTTGTTGAGGCCATTTATGTCCGTTTAAGTTAAGATAACTCCTTTTTATTTTTCTTTTCCTTCTTCATCCTGAATCCTTGTTCTTTTAGGTAATCAGCATGTGACTGACCCTTCTTTTATTTTGTCTATAAAAAACATGGTTACGTTTATAGTTCAGTTTCTATTCCACCTAAATTTCAAGAGTTTAATTCACATGCACATAATTTATGGAAAAAGTGGAAACTAACATTTTTTTTATTTAATTTTCAGAAAAGGTATTTTTTTAAATGTAAAGTACATTTTAATCGAATTGAATCGAATTATATTAATTTGATATTGTATTGTATTTAAATTGGTTTTTAAATGTTACATTTAAATAATTAGTATATATATGAAAATATTTAATTAAATAAATATATTTGTATAGTTGAGGGTATGAGTGAAGTTGTGTACTTAAATACGTGTATTAATCATTCTTATCAAACAGATATTTATTATATCTATTTTTATTATAAATTGTTTAATTTTAAAAAATATCACAATCAAATAATTTACATTTATTTGATTTTAATTTTATTATTTGAATAAAATGTTTCAATTATCATCAAATACAAAAAATAGTACTTCGAACTATACATTTAACAAAATAAATAGCAAGTACAGATTTCGATAAAAAAAAATAATACGGTTGACATCTACTAAAAATATGGTTTCACTAATATTGTATGAGAAACTCTATCAAACATCAATTTAAAAAGAACTAAAACTTATATTGATGAATAAATAATTTTAACAATATTAATTATAAAATTGTTTATACAATGTATATTAAAAAATGACTTATATTAACAAAAAGATAATATAATTAGTATTTATAAAAGAATCATATATCTTGTCAATGTTAATAACGAAAATTTGAATTAACCGAAGTTAATAACTAATCGTATAACTCGTGGTTAAAATATTATTTTTAATAAAAGTTGGAAAACATTGTTTATATTTATAAAAAAATACTTAATTAATGTAAAATTTATTAAAAAAATCATTGAGATGCCAAAAAAAAAGGTTAAGTTTGTTTTCTATTTTTAAAGTATAACTCGAATTTTGTTTTCAGTTCTATTTTAAAGTTTGATTATCTTGAGTTCTTATATTTAAGAAATAATGAATTTATTCTTTTTTGTCTAATCCAACAACTTTAACTTCATTTGATCAGTGAATTATTC